TTATTCAATCTGTGCAACCATTGATTTCATGCTTAATTGATGATTACGCCGTATTTCGGAAAAATATTTAAAAATTCCAATGGAAGAGTATAGAGCAAACTTATGATTGCGCAGCAAATGGAATCATCGAAGAGATATGACTGATAGCCTCTGTCCTGTCACCCAGTTTCCACAGGTGACAAGAAATTAAGAGATGTTGGGAAAATAAAACGAATGCCAATTCTCATATTTTGCCCAATACTCACTTGATGCATAGCTTCCCTGCCCGTCGTTGATTCAGTTGCACCCAACCTGGCGGAGTTTCTGGTGGATCTGCATCTACCATAATGGCCTCTCGAGTTACAGCATATAGAACGTCACATATGGAAACGTCACAATGTCTGAAATAAGATTAATATATCATCCAAAAGCAGTCTAAGCAAATACTCACCTGCATACATCAAGCGCAACATCGTAATTTTTGATGCTTATCAGACTGTCCACTATTTCCCGTGGTTCAGTTGGAGGTACTTCGCCAGTGGACAACAAAGCTACGCGAGCATTTGCAATCACCCATTCTTCGCACAGCCTGGAAATTGCAGCTGAACTTCAAGTAGTCGAACTAATTCGAAAGAGCATACTTTTCAGCTGACAATATGAACATTCTTTTGCGAGTAGCAGTACGTTTCGGCGTCTCCATATTCAGCTCATCTGCGATGACGTCACCCATCGCAACGTCAATCATTTCCTGTGTTATGTCTGCGCTTGATTCCATCGCTCCTTCACTTTCAATTTCTTCATCAAGCTAGATAAACAACGTCACTTGAGTCTGCGACACTATATGAGTGAGATATTACCACGTGAGGGAAGGATAGAAAGCGATCTTCTTCAGGTAAAAGATCCAACAACGTGGATGCTACTGCAAGAGCGTCTCTTCGCCTAAGGAGGAGATCAGGCGTTTGCTCGGCTTGGGTGCGCAGAACAAAAGCATACTCGTATTGAGCTCGTGCTGCTGAAGACCCAAAGACAATAGTTAGCTAATGGGATCGTTCAAAATAAAAGTGAAATACTGGAATAGAAAGCAAAATTCAAATTTGAAAGTAACCGCAAGTTTTGTTAAGCGCAAAAAATGAATGCACAACAACGGTCATAAGAAAGAAAAAGACAAAAAGTAAGAAAAATAAAATAAAAATCCATTTAGCAGAGTACTTACCGCTTTCGAAATCACTTCTCTTCATGTAAAAAGAGAAAATCAGCTTAAAAAGATGCGGTGTCACAGTTGCTTCTTGAGTTCGTGCAGCGGTTAATAGGATATTTTCCACCTGAAAACTATTTACGACCATCATCTTCCTGCCAAAATGCAGATAATTACAAGCAAACAGTTGCAGAATGCACAGAGTTTTGAAGGAGCATGAGAGCAAAGAACAGCGTGGCTAGATAAAAATACATAGCAAAAATTTCGGTACTATTCAACATCGTCGGGCCCTAAATCTAAAATTCTTATTTTGCTCAACTCGTTTAGAGAGGTAATTTGCAGATGAACATGGAATTGTATCTATTCTGCAGGGGATGACCTTACTGTAGAATTACAGTAGGTAAACAATAGAGGTCAAAGCCTTGATAAAAGTTCACCTAGGAGGTATTATAGGATGGTGATCAAGAAATTATATCCACTTTGCAGGACAGCGCTTTACTGTACGGTAACGGTAGCGAGCCAAGATATGAAAACGCCTGAAATCTCATTTAAGAACTTACCTGGAAAGCCAATCTCGAGAATTAACTTTACATCACTTTCTACTGCAGAATTACAAGGGGCTTAGATAAATTTCCCCTCTCCCACTCAATATCTCAATGTGATCACCATATAATTTTAGGTATC